GTGATCTAGCATCCCTTGTGTTACCCTAGATAGACCTGGAGTCCATTTTACTAAGTATCAAGCACCACATGTACTCATCATAGAATTGTTATTTACTGATCAACACTTAAATACACATATAGTAATAACATTCATCGGGTGTCGTACAGATGGGAGGGGAGACAAGGGGATGGGCATATACACACCTAATGGGTGTGGTACACACTGTCTGGGGGATGGACATACTTGAAGCTCTGACTCAGGTGGGGCAAAGGCAATATATGTAACCTAAACATATGTACCCCCATAATATGCTGAAATAAAAAAAAATTTAAAAAACATAAAAAGCAATATAGGGTTGGAAAGTGTTAATGAATGAAAAAGAAACTAACTGCCTGTTAATACATGGCATCATTTTTCTTTTTTAGGCTACAGATGTGTCCATCTTGCTAGAACTACAGTAATTCCTTGAGTAACACCATTTTGTTCAATGTCATTCAGTTATAACATGAGGGGAAAAAAATTGATTCCCAGCCAGGGCCACTATCTGTGTAGAGTATGCACATTCTCTCATGTCTTTGTGGGTTTTCTTTGGGTATTCTGGTTTCCTCCCACATCCCAAAGGGGTGCACATTAAGGGAACTATTGTATTTAAATTGTACCGGCTGGACTGAGTGTGGATACATGTGACTGTGCCCTTTCATGGGATGGCATCCTGTCCAGAGTTGGTTCCTGCCTTGCACCCTGACCTGCTGGGATTAGGCTCCAGCCATCTGAAACCCTGAACTGGAATAACTCAGTAAATAATTATCTTACTCATTTTTATTAATCTTTCTTAAATGTGTATATAGCTCACATTTATTTCAGTGTTTAATATTAGAGGTGTTTTTGTCTTTAGAAGTTTGATGATGTTTTGTAACCAGAAATAGGCCATAGGCAATTAATTCTTGTTTATATCAATTAGCCTATGGTAAAACTGGTTTCATTATATGTGGTTTTGCTTAAAGTTGGTTTCCATGAACCTATCAACAACATTAAGGAGGCACTTACTTACATAAATCACACTGATTAGTAAGTTCGTTCCTTGATGCTGAAGAGCTGAGGAGAACACAAGTATCAATAAATAATACTTAACATTATATTACACACACACATCCCCTTTGATGTGGTATTTCTTCATTCTCTACATAGGAGGTGGTTAATGACCATTTGCTCACTATGATGATTTTATCTCAACTATACCACTTTCATATACTTGGTATATAAAACTACCCTATGGTACTAAATATGCTCAGTTTAAAGTGTTTAAATTTTTGGACTTATATTCAATACTTTCAGTATTATCACCAATTGGCCAAAAGACACCCTATCCACGATATGTACATTTCTCACTAGATTACATGAATAAAATCATAGAAAACACTGTCCTACAGGATTTTTCTTATTTGAAGGGAAAATTGTTCTGCTCAAAGAAATCTGGGATACAATGGTAAATTTAAAAATAGGTTAACATGATACTTGATAAGCTTCTGCAGTACTAAAAATATAGTAACTTCTAATATACTATTCATTTTTTGCTCTGGGTACTGGTTATTTATATAGGTATGCTCATTTTGTGAAAATTCATCAAGTTGTACATTTGTGATCTGTTCATTTTTCTGTATAGTTCGATAAAGAAATTGCTTTAAAAACTTATCACTTTAAAGTGTCTCTTTCTCTCTTCCTCTCCCTCTTTCCTTCTCTCTCATCAAAATATCCCCAGGCTGGCCTCTATTTGAGAACAATGGATAAAGAATGCTCAATATAGAACAATGTCTACAGTGTCAACTATTATATCTGGCCTTGGTTAAGAAGCCTCAAAGATGGATGCTTTATGACAGGTAGAAATCAAGTACTTCCAACGAGACAAGGGAGCACAGATGTATTTTTCCTATCCCTGTCCATATGGGGATTACTTTATATCACCAAGGACACACTGGAGAATGGGAAAGCATTGGAATGTGTCCAGGCTTCTCTCACATTATAAAAGTTATATATAACAAAGGTCAGTTTCTATGTGGATAGAACAGTGCCAGCCCCTTTCAAAATCAAAGAATTGATTAAATACTAAAGAAGACTTCATAATCCAAATCCTGAACACCGGGGGAATGGGCCAACAAAGAAAAATCTAATGTAAAATTGAAGACTTCTCATGTACAGATAACTTTGTGATTTGCTTTTCTTTATATTGATTGACATATTAATATTTTCTTAAAAGCGTCAAGGAATAACTGATATACAAAAATTGAACATATTTAATGTATACATTTTTGATGAATTTGGACATAGGTATATACCTATGATACTATCATCACAATCAGGGTACTAAGTATATCCATCACTTCCAAAATATCCTTGTGTCTTTTTGTGGGATTTTGTTTTGATTAAGAATACTTAAAATAAGATCTATCCTCTTAACACATTTTAAAGTGTAAATACTATATTGTGAACTATAGGTACTATGTTGTATAGCTGGGCTCTAGAACTTACTCGTCCTAAATAACTAAAACTGTTATATCCATTAAGCAACAATTCCCCATTTCCTCCTCCCATCCCCTAGTAGTCACACTTCTATTCTCTGCTTTTATGAGCTTGACTATTTTAGATACCTAAGTGAAATAATGCAATACTTGCCCTTCTGTGACTGCCTTATTTTACTTAGCATAATGTTCTCTAGGTTCATCCATGTTCTTGCAAATGGTAGATTTACTTCTTTTTTATTGCTGAATAAATCCCATTTTATGTACATGCTACATTTTCTTCATTCATGTGCTGTTATTTTTTCCTTATCTTGGCTACTGTTAATAATGCAGCAATGAACATGAGGATGTAGATATATCTCTTTGAGATCCTGATTTCAATTTTTCTGGATATACATATATATCAAACACGAAATTGCTGGATCATATGGCATTTTAAATTGTTTGAAGAACCTCCACACTATTTTTAATAGTAACTGCACCATTATATACATATATTCCTACAAACAGTAGGGTTCCAATTTTTCCACATCCTTACCAACACTTGTCATCTTTTCTTTTTTTTTTTATAATAGTCATCCTTACACGTGTGAGGTAATATCTCATTATAATGATCTGCATTTCCCTGATGATCAGTGATATTAAGAACCCTTTAAAATACCCAGTGGCCATTTGCATGTCTTCTTTGGAAAAATGTCCATTCAAGTATTTACCCATGTTTCAACTGGAGGATTTTTTTGTTTGTTTGGTTTTTTGGTTTGTTTTGCTATAGAGAAATACGGTCAGAGATATACAATCAAATGATCTTCAAACAAGGGTGTTAAGAACACACAATGGAGAAAGGACAGTCTCCTCAACAAATGGTGCTGAGAAAACTGTATACCCACAAGCGGAAGAATCAAACTGGGCCCCTATCTTACATCATACACAAAAGTCACTTCAAAATGGATGACGCACTTAAGACCTAAAACTATAAAACTCGTGGAAGAAAATAGGGAAAAAGTTTCTTGACATTGGTCTTGGCAAGGATTTCATGGATTTGACACCAAAATCACAGGTAACAATACCAAAAACAGACAAGTGAAACTATATTAAACTAAAAAGCTCTGCCAACAGCAAAGAAACAATCAACAGAGTAAAAAGGCAACTTACAATATGTGATGGGAGAAAACATCTGCAAACTATATAAAATGATAAGTGGTTAACATAAAAAATATATAAGAATCTCTTGAAACTCAACAGTAAAAAAAATAAAATAAAATAAATAACTGTCAGGTTTACTGAGAGTGGGATCCTGAAAAGTATGCAGAGGATGTAATACTTAGGCAGGTATCATAATGCTTGTGAAACAAAAGCTGCAGGAGTCTGGAGAGTCCAGAGGTTGTAAATCTGACAGACAGCTATGGCATTCCTATCCCCTGATAAGGACGAAGCTACTCCCCTTCCCTACGTCTGCTGGTGTTGCTCAATCCCCCCAGAGAAACCATCTATAAACCTCAAGGCTTTCCCCTCCCTTGTGGTGGATGCTCATTTGGCCTCTACCATCTGCACCCAGATGCTCAAAATAAATAGCATTTTGCTATACCTCAGGCTCCTTGTCTTCCTCTTAGCTCTGGACCTAACAATAACCCAATTAAAAATTCACATGTTAATCTTTAAAATCAGAGAACAGAAAAAATACGTTTATATTTCATGCAGAGAACGTTAAGTATTCTAAAATTTCCATCAGAATAATAAAGAAAGAAAATTTCAAATTATGCACTCTAGCAGTTTCATTATCTTTGTATATTAATACTTAATTATTTGTGGGAAGGAAGAGAAGGGTAAATAGGTGAAACCGGAGAATTTTAGAGCAGTGAAACTATATGGTATGATACTGTAATGGTAAAGACATGACATTATACATTTGTCAAAACCCATAGAATTACACAACACAGAGTGGATCCTAATGTAGATTATAGACTCTGGCTAATAATAACGCATCAATACAATAGTCATTCATCAATTGTAACAAGCATACCACACCAATATAGATGTTGTTAACCGGAGCAACTGTGTAGGAGGAAAGGGAATGTTCTGTACTTTCTACACATAAATAAAAATGGCAGCTTTCTGTACTTTTTGCTCAATTTTTCAGTAAACCTGAAACTCCTCTAAAAATAATGTCTATTAATTTAAAAAAGCTAATTATTTTGATATCTAATAATAGCATCACCTACTCAAAGTTATTAGTATTCGTTAACAAAAAAGGGAAGTTTACTTCTGTCTTGGTTATTTAGATTCTTCATTTGAAATTTTATATTAACATTGGTTTTCTAAACATAAGAAAATTTCTGCCTTGTCAGTATGGTACCAGTACTAGTCTGTTTGGGCTATAACAACAGGATACTACTGTTAGCTTAAACAGATGGCTAAACAGATAGCTACTACAGATAGCTTAAACAACAGAAATTTATTTTCTCAAAGTGGTGAGGGCTAGAAGTCCAAGATTAAGATACCCACAGGGTTGTTTTCTGGTGAGGGCTCTTGTTCTGGCTTGCAGAGATCCACGTTCTGTGTCCTCACATGGCCTTTCCTCTGTGCATGCATACTTCTGGTGTCTCTTCATCTTCTTATAAGAACAAGAGTCCTATTGGATTAGAGGCCCACTCTTTAGACCTCATTTAACCTTAACCACCTTCTTATCTCCAAACAGTCACACTGGGGGTTAGTACTTCAAGGTATAGATTGGTGGTGGTGGGATACAATTCAATTGATAACATTCTTCCCTCTGGCCCCTACAATTCATGTCCTTTTCACATACAAAAAACAAGCACCCCATCCCCAAAGCCCCCTAAAGTCTTAACCCATTGCAGTAAGAACTCCAAGTCCAGAATTTCACCCAAATATCATCTACATTAGGTATGGTTGAGATTCGAGGTATGATTAATCCTGAGGCAAAATTGTTCTCCAGCTGTGAAACTGTAAAACCACATAACTTACATGCTTCTAAAATACAATGTTAGGACATGCACAGGATATCCATTCCCATTCCAAAAGGGAGAAATCAGAATGAAGAAAGGGGTGATAGGTCCCAAGAAAATCCAAAACCTAGCAAGGCAAATTCCATTAGATCTTAAGGCACACGAATAGTCCTCTCTGCTTTGATGCTGTGCCCTACAGGCACACTGCAACATCACTTTGTACTCTGGGCCCTAGGTGACAGCCATGCTCTACAAGGGAGCCTGGCCCTCTGAAACTGAGGAGGAGGCAGCTTTGTGCTCTGGGCCTGTGGAGGCAGTGGCAATCCTGCTGATCTGCGAATAATCCTCAGAGTCAGTCTTCCCTTTTCTTGAAGGATAAGGGATGTTAACAGCCAGATATGTGATTCTATAGAATAGGACAGTAGAACCTAAGTCCAAAAACCTTTCTTTATTATATCCCATCTGACCCCTTTGATACAAAGTGGCAGTGTCTCTGCTGGTATAATCCCATCACTATTCTTAGCTTCTGCCAGGATGGCTGATTAACTATGGTTTAATCTCTTTATGGAAAGACTGGCCACATATTGGGTGTTCTTTCCAGAACATGCTCTTACAATAAGGACATATTGAGAATGTCCCAAGTCTCAGTTCCTGGTTCCTTTTTGCTTAACAATTCCTTCTACAATAAATCTCTCTCCTCTCAAATTTTACTATAAGCAGTAAGGAGAAATCAAGCTATACTTTCAAGACTTTGCTTAGAAATCTCCTTTGCTAAATGTCCATGCTCATCACTCACAAGTTCTATCTTTCACAGAACGTTGGAATACAATTCAGTCAAGTTTTTTGCTTCTTCATAACAAGGACTGCCTTCTTTCTAGTTTCCTGTAACATTTCTCGTTTCCATCTGAGACCTCACCGGAATCATCTTTAGCATCTGCATTCTCACCAATGATTCCATCAGAACTCTTCCAGCCTCACATTACCTAATTCTAAAGCCACTCCCCATTTTTAGGTATTCGTTACAGTGGAACTCCATTTCACAGTACCAAAATCTGCATTATTCTGCTCAGGCTTCCATAACACAATACTGAGTAGGTTAAATAACAGAAATTTATTTTCTCACAGTTCTACAGGCTAGAAGTCCAAGATTAAGATGCTGGTAGGGTTTCTTTCTAGTAAGGCCTCTCCTTCTTGGCCTGCAGATGGCTGCCTTCTTGCTGAGTACTCCGATGGCCTTTTCTCTGTGAGTGCATACTTCTGGTATCTCTTCCTAGTCTTATAATGACACTAGTACTATCAGATTAGGGCCCCAGCTTTATGATCTCAGTTAACCTTAATAATCTCCTTAAAGGCTTTATCTCCAAAAACAGTCCAGTCATATTGGAAGTTAGGTTTTTAACATAAGAGTTTGGGGGAAGAGGGCACAATTCAGTCTAAAACAGTACCAACAGAAATCATGCCAGTCCTGTGTTCTGTAGGTACTTGACATTATTAGAATGCACATGTTTTATTATGTGTTTTTTTATGTTATTATTTATGTTAAAATTGTGACAAGATAAAAAGCCAAGTTGGTTAAATGTATGCAATATTTATCAAATTAGAAAATAAAATTCTTAAATGACTTAGCCAGCTCAAACCATCTCAGAGCAAATAATATTTCTAATTTTTGGTCTTTTCTTTTTAAGCTGTCTCTACTCTCTGGGAATTTAATTATTTATTTATTTTTAATTTTTTAGTCATTTATTTTGAGAAACAATCTTGCTCTGTTGCCCAGGCTAGAGTGCAGTAGAGTCATCATAGCTCAACTCCTCAAACTCCTGGGCTCAAGCAGTCCTCCCACCTCAGCCTCCCAAAGTGCTAGGATTACAGGCACAAACCACCGTATCTGGCGCACTCTGGGGATTCAAATTAAAATATGTATAAACATTTTTTGCTTACAAGAACTATGATGTATTTGTATCCATTAGATTCCAGCATAATTAATCACCTACAAGTTGTACACTGGATGTGTCAGTACATTATATCTCCATAATATGAGAAGGAATATTCCTTCTGTAGATGTAAAGAAATAGCATGTCCCTAATGCAAGAGAAATCTCATTCTTACACAGGACAAAGTAACCCCAGAAGTAATCCACAGTTGCTCTGCAGAAGTGGGTTTGGGAATCAGTGACTGTTCACACAAACAGAACATCATACATAATAACTGTTGGGAATGAGCTACACAGACATTAATTATTTAGTAAAACTGATAATTTGTCAGCTCCCTCTACTGATGTTAAATGTTCTTGATGTCTGTTGTGAGCACAGAAGAACCAGAATAAAAGGCGCCCAAATCCACACAGGCCACAGCAAAAAAAAAAGTACAACACTGTAATCAATGATCACTGTGGAATATTGCAAAAATGTGAATGATTTTCGACAAAGCAATAGATGATCACTAAATTTGTTTGTGCACCATTTAGGAATGCATCAGGACACAAGAAGTAATCTTATGGTAAGTAGAAATTAAAACAGCTTCTTACAGTTGTGACTAGATTCCTGTGGAATTTATGTGCCTTATTTAGTTCAATGAATATTTCAAGCACATATATTATTTAGTGAATGCTTGCTTGTAACCTATGATCCCTCTTATATTAGCTTTCAATCTTTGTCAAGGATATGAGATACTTTATCTGTACAACTAGGAGACTGGATCAGGCTATTTCTAAACTGTAAATTTTATAATTTTGGGCTTGGTAACTGCAAAGACTAAAATAGCATTTGAAGCTTCTAATTTATTAACTCTGAAACTGTCTAAATCTTGAATTATACAGAAGGACCTCAATCTTCTTCAATTATTGTTGATGCTATATATATTTTTGGGTTTGAACATGATAAAGTCAACTTTAACAGTTTAAATGGTTCTACAAACACTTTGGTGTTCACATTCATAAACATTTTTATTAAAAAGCACCCTTTTATTGATAAAAAAAATATTCAATTGCCCAAATTAACTTTCTCTAGCTAGCCACCTCTCATCCTACTCTCATCTCTACTTTTCTATTAACACTTGCTGAGTTCCTAGGCATGATGCAATGCATATCCAACCTTTATGAGAAAAAGTAATATGAATTTGACACTATAGTAGCTACCAGATGCTTCCTTCCAACTCTGTCCCATAGGTTTTTTTTTGAGAGAGAGTCTCACTCTGTTGCCCGGGCTAGAGTGCCATGGCATCAGCCTAGCTCACAGCAACCTCACACTCCTGGGCTCAAGCAATCCTTCTGCCTCAGCCTCCCGAGTAGCTGGGACTATAGGCATGCACCACCATGCCTGGCTAATTTTCTTTTCTATATATTTTTAGTTGGCCAAGTGATTTCTTTCTTTTTTTTAGCAGAGATAGGGTCTTGCTCTTGCTCAGGCTGGTCTCGAACTCCTGAGCGCAAGCAATCCACCCGCCTTGGCCTCCCAGAGTGCTAGGATTACAGGCGTGAGCCACCATGCCCAGCCTGTCCCATATGTTTTTAAGCCACACACTTCAACTGAAGTTGAATACAACCTCTTTATTCTTGTAAATTTCCTTCTCTTCCCTTTTCTTTCTCTCACAAACATATCTCAGGCACTTAGTCTTGAATGCCTATTACAGTATTTTCCTCCTAGTGACACCTTTAAGAATTGTAAAATATTACTAAAAAAATGAAGACATGTATTCTGATTAGTTTTGTCCATTTTAACTGCTACACCTCTTTCCTAAAAGAATGAATGAATTTTAAAGATGAATGAAAGTAATAATGAGTAAGACCCATATACTCACTTACTTCTCACACCCTACTTTCTTAAAGGGAAAATGTAAGAAAAGGTAGATCTATTTTTAGTAGAGACAGAGTAAAGAAGAAAAAAAAAGAAAGAAAAGGTAGAAATTATATGCAGAATTAAGAGAGTTGTACAGAATGCTGAAATATACTTTTCAAAATGGTCTGTGTATATCTGTATTTGTATAACTCTTAGGAATCACTATGAGTTCATGAGTTTTTGTTCTAAAGAATAAGTTTAGTCATTTTTGGAGATTCTTAAGCAATCTAAAGCATTACACATCTAAATATAATTTTAATAAAGGTACCAATAATATTGTTGATCGGACAAAGAAGATACAGTAGAGAGAATAAAATCAGGTGATTTTTTTTTCAGTTAATTTTAAGTTGTGTTTTGAGGCTACAAATATTCATTCAATAAATATTGGAGGAGCATCTACTGTTTTGTCAGGAACACAAACAATAGCAAAGATGTGCTGTGAAAGCATATGAGAGAGTGAGAGGGGTTCTAAGCTAGTTGGGGGGTAGGGCAGAGTAGGCAAAAATTGTCAGGGTCTTCAAAGTGAAACATCTAAGACAAGACTTGAGCCTGAGGTCATATGGAGCCTTCTTTCCCCAACTGCTTTTTGAGCTGACTTCTTAGAAGGAGAAATAGGGCTAAAACACATTTACTTTATGTGAAATATATTAGTATGATATGAAGCACTATTAAACAACAAGCAAGCGTGTGACCTCAAACATTTTTAGGCCAGAAATTATAGTTTTAATCATCAAGGTTTTACTTTATGAAAATCTGAGGCATTTTATTCTCCACACTGAAGGTGGAATCCTTCTTAAAAATGCAAAACATATTATATTATTCTCCTACTCCCTTCAGGGGATTTGTAATACTCTGCTGACCAGGCTGCTGCCAATGCACTCCCCAAATCTGTTCTACTGTCTAGCAATCTAGCCCCTCTTTCAGTGCCTCCACTCTGCAGGCTCCCTCCTCCTGCTTCAATCCCTGGATCTCCGGAAATCTTGTCTCTAGCCTCTAGGGAGTACTGCCATAGTTTCCAGGTCTCAGCTTAATGCCCTTCCTGGTGGGGTAGTGTTGAGTCTAGGTATGACCCCCTCTTATTTTCCTCTAAAGGCTATTTTTAGTTCTCCCTCAGGATATTCATCACACTCTTGATTATTTGTTCCATGTCTGTCTTCTTTGCTGAGTTGCAAACTCCTCAACAGTTTAATATACTCTGCTGCTAGCACAGTGCTGGGCACTTGTCACAATGAGTAAGTCAAAAAACAAGCAAGTATAAGCAAGACACACACAAAAAAATCCTGCCCTTAGCCTTTACTCTCCTTAAAGTCAGAGCATAATTTATTGCCATCATCAGGATAAATTCAGCAAACATCACCAAAGGAAGCTGGTTTCATTAGCCTCATAAAGCTATTTACAGAGATTGACTTTTTAGAAACTCCATTACAGAACATAGTCTGAGTTTCAAGACATTATATGTGGTTGGATGATTATATCTTACTGGATGTATTACAATTATTTACAATCCTGTTTATGAAACTATCCATCAAAAATGTATACTTTTCGCCTTTTTTTTATTAGCAATGAGCCAGAAAGTAGTGTACCTTCCATATTTTTAAAACTAAAATCTCCACGCATAAAGCATGAAGACAAAGGGTTGATATTATTGTTATGAAAACTAGCTACTATTTTTGAGTATATTACTTGTTAAGTGAATTAGCATCTTTAATCATCAAGACATTCCTATGAAGTAGGGACTGTTAACTCCATTTTATAGATGAGTAAACTGAGGCCCACTGAACTCTAATAACTTCTCAAAATATTCTCACCATTTTGTGAGGAGGATACCCTTATATTCTAGAGTCTTGAGATTTCTAAAGATCAGAAAAGTGAGGTGGGTTAAAGTTGTGACAGAGAATTCTAAGTTGGGATGGGGGACATGCTCTCTGAAAAGTCTCTTACTGGAACACAGGCAATAAACATCATGAGCTGTCCTTCCCTACCTACTGGCATCTTAGGTGGCTACAATAAGAAAAACAGAAGGTAAGGCATGGATGCAGAAACTAGCTGCAAGGTGAAACTTTAAGATTCATGTTCAGTCCTGATCACCTTTTGGGTGACCTTAGAAGTATTCTCCTTTAAACAGCCTAAAAATAAAATGGTCCAAAAGTTGACAGAGTCCACAAAAATTCTGGTTTTGTGGCGAGTCTTTATTTTATTCTACATCTTAATAAGAATTTAATGAAAAATGAGAAAAGCTTACACTGGAGGCTGCTAGCTAGCTGCCATTTTTGAACTGAGAGACTCTTTTATATGAATTTTTAAAGCTTATTAATTTTATGTATATTCCATTGAAAAACTGTGTGGTATGTTTATTTCTTTATTTATGCCCTACCTTATCTAAAAATACGTTTTGAAAGTAAGGTAGAAAGCTGCAAACCTTGGGAAGATTGAGGTTGTTACTACATGCTAGGTCATAAAACTGTTTTAAAAAACAGAGTAGAATATATTGATGAATGGAAATATTGATAAATATTTAACTTTAGTATATGAAAAGACAAAATTAAGAGACAATCCACAAACTGGAATAAGAAACTTATAAATATAAGCAAATGGTTAAAAGTTACAATTAATCATATAACGCAATTTTTTTAAGAGATAGGGTCTCACTCTATGACACAAATTTTTAAAAAGAAAAATATCCAATAAAAAAATGAACAAAGAATATTAAAGGGCAGTTCCTAGAAGAGGAAACCAAAATGGCTAACAGTGACTAATCATACAAAACGTTTTCAACATCACTGGAAATCAAGAAAATAAAAATTAAAACAAAATATCATTTCACACCTCTCACAGTGGGAAAAATTA